TGTTCCATTTTGTTATGTTTTGCATTACTCTTCTTATTTCTGGCGCATCCGCTCATTTTTCCTATGTACGATATGTTGTACTGGTGTTTTGCTTTTTTAATGTCATGTTGCCTCGTTGATGCCTTTCAAAAAAACGGTTGCAGAGCTTAAATAGGCCACAAGTCTTGGTGGACCTCGAAATTGCAAAATGGGATGGGAAGGTGTTGTAAAAATGTGGGCAAGCATGGCGTTTACATATTTCACTTGTATTAGGAGTCATTTGTATGGAGTAGTTCGCAATCGGACGACAATATTCTGACCGAACAAACCTGAAGCTGCCCGTGGAAACATCTCATCTCATTGTCATTTCTTTCACTTTCACTCGTGCAGAATGCCCTGTTGTTTAGTTAAACATTCGACAAATTTGAAGTAATTATTATCATTTGTTGGATTCTGTGACGCTACCTACAAAATATGAAATATCTACAACGCAGTCGACTCTGCATCCCTCGGCTTTAGCTTTATATGTAGACGCCCACTCTAGAGGTCTTGTTTTCAGCCATAAAGTAAACTACACCAAGAAAGCTGCGATGCCGGCTGGCAGTACAAGGAGGCTGGCCCAAGTAGTGAGCGACATCCCAGAACCAGAGCCAGAGTTTGTCCTCGCCCCTCCCGTGTCGTTTTTGGACGTCGTGCCGTTCTTCACTGTAGCATATCCCTGGGGTGCGTTGCCGTTGCCAACGGCGCCGGTGGGCTGCGTCACATTCTTGTCCGTGGTAAAGCTGACTGTTGACGACAGGCTCGGAATGCGGCCCAGCAAAAACTCCAGATGGCGGTAGGCGACACTGGGTGCATATTGAGGCACCATGTGGCCAGACAGCGAGACTGCGGCGTAGGTGAGGCCACGCTCCGAGTGGATGGTGCCCATGACGCCGCTACCCGCAATGGAGCTCAAAGATGGGTCGTCATGGAATGGCACGTAAAGGGGCTCCGTGGGCGGCGACTGGAACCCAAGCTGGCCGCCCCAAGTCATGTTCTGAATTGTCAAGAGTGTGCCATTGGCGATGAGGACGAAATCCAGGGCACCATGGCCAATGATGACGTTCTTGGTGGCATCAATGACGTTAGGCAGAGCGTGAATACTGGATGGCACGGAGTTGTCATTGCCACCAACAAACACGTCTTTTTCTGAGCACTCGCTCCAGTTCACGTTTTTAGGAGCGTGGATGGCTTTCTTGACATCGTCTCGATCAAAGTAAAGACTGGCTCCTGAAGGGAGGTACTCCACGGTTCCAGGGACTGCACTGTTAGTATGGTCGTTGACAATCACCCTACGAGAACAAAAAGGCCCGGCATAACTCACAACCAAGTACATCCCACGGCAGTGGACAGGTCGTTGCTACTTGATAGATGTCCCAACAAGGGTTGACAGTTAACGCGGCATAGACAATGTCGTCATAAATCCGCGCACAGTCGCGCTTCGTGGTGCCATTAGCCTCTTGGCCCGCGATGACAGTTGGCTGTTGGCCGACCGGCGGGTAAACCAGGTACTTGTTGAGATAGTCGGTGTAGCCGCAGGCGGCATCACGGGAGTGAACTTCAGCGACGAAACTATCGTTAAAGGGGAACAGACCCGTCCAGTAATCCACGAAGGAGACCGCGGGTAGGGGTTCCTGGATATCATTTTGGCCGATGACAGGATCGTAGATGAGGACGCCTGAGATGTTGTAGTATGTGGTGTCCTTTGCATCGACCATAGCACTGGCAATGTATGGGCAGTACATTCCACTGAGCAGTGTTAGCAAGATGCTCCATTATGAGATGGGGGCTTTTGTACGTACGCGTAGGACTCTCCTGTGACGTAGACCTTGTAACCCTGAAGAGAAAAAGTGGTTACGAAATTCTTCCAGAACCCGAGGAACTGAGCGGCCACATCTTCCTCACTAGTTGCTGTGACATTACCAACAGAGAAACCGGTGCCGACAGGCTGCTCAATGTAAACTACGTGGGACAATTTGTTCCAAGCCCAGTTGTTCTTGACTGGTAGATATGTTCCACTTTGCCAGGTAAACGGACCATTTTCCTGGAGCAATCCTTCGAGAGAGGAGCATCCGGGCTTTGGTAAACCATCGTGTCAGTTTTTTCTGGAAACGTAGACATTGTTGTAAGAGGACCATTGCAGACGAAGGGAGACTCACTCCTCCATTCAACCAGATCACAATTTCCTTCGACGCGTCCGGGTTTGTTGAAGGGAAGAACCAAAAAAAGAGTTGGTTCGTGTCGTTAGGGTCGCTGGACAGGGGAAGAGACCCGGCGTAGGATTCACCAATGTCAAAATGCACGTCCGGGATACCGGTTCCGTTGACAGAGAAGCCTATGAAGTAAGTTAGAAAATTGTGCTTCAAAAGAAACACTACTATACTACTACTACTAATAATGGACATCGACAATTAGGGGCGCATACTTGAAGTGTTGGAGTTCAAAAATTGGGCTTTCGCTACCCGTTTCTCGATAGCATCTTCAGCTTCGCCGTCCAGGAAGGCGTTGTGCAGAGGTGACCGCTCGTAAAAAGCGCTCAGAAGGTCATCCGACTTGCCGGCGTGGCGGAGACTACGACCTGCTGAGGCCACAGAGGCAAAAGCAGCCGTCAGCAGCAGCGGCTGCCAGGCTTGGTTGCTAATCCAACGCATGACGTTGGTCTTGACAATTCCTTCTGACCGAGATGATGTTGGTGGCAGGCGATATTCGTTGTGCCACAAAAGCACGAATGGAAAAGAAGGGAAGGATTCAGGATGTAAGGCGGGATATGGCAGCGTTTATAGACAAGGCGGGTGGAATCTGGGGAAGATGGATCGGGAGAACAAGAGGTAGACAGCGACCCGAGTCCGACTGTCGTCGTTGCACAACTTTTGGGTTATACGAGCGTGTAAGTGCTGTATATTTCGTCTCGTCCGTCTTGACGCTCTCCGATTTTTCTGGCTTGCGTAAACAGCCTTGCGTTCCTATTGTCGTGTTTCACGGTGAGAGCAGCCGATAGGGCGTAGATGAATGAAAATGCAGTATATGTGGAGCTGGGTCTCAAACTGTCCAGCAGTCTTGTCTCTGCTTCAATGCGGCACAGAACGATGGGCGAGATTGGGAGATTGCCGCAGGATGGGCACGAGGGTTGATGAAGATAGCGGGAGGGATGGGGAGGAAGAAAGGCGAGCCGAGAAAAGCAAGGAAAGATATATAGTAGTTGGCAAGGGCAAAGCAAAGGCAATAGTAGACGAAGAGGAAAGAGCAATGACACAATCGCACATGTGGAAAGAGCCAATTTAGATAGCAGCAAAGACAGAGGAATCACCGAGGTGGTATGCACGATCATGGCTTCCAGCCTGGTGGAATTCGTAGTTATCGTATTTTGGCAGGTCCCTCTTCATAGGACCTGCCAAATTCGGTGTGCGATCGTTAAGGACCAGAGGAAGCAACGACCAACGGGTGATCTGTGACGGAGCGTCGGCCTAGTCAAGAAAGGCATATTGCACTGCCGAAAACCACTAATCCCTGGTCGTTGGTCGAGGAAATCCCGACAAGGAGAGACTTTGCCCCGTCTTCTGCAGTGATCGTCTTTTCTCAGCCTAGGTCAAAGCCTGGCCAGGCTGGGGGACGACGCCCGACGATCTGGAGCTGCCGTTTAAGGAAAGCGGAGGGTCTTCTTGCATGACCGGCAGCGAGTTTAGAGAATCGCCACATACAAGATGAGGTAGGAGCGAATGGGAACGAGTAGTGTACCAAATAGTGGAGAGCGCAAATAGAAGAACCCCATACTGCACTCGCCCAAGGTCGCTTTAAAGTTTGCCTCGGAAGCTACGATCAAGATAGAATCGAGCGCTAAATGCCCCCCCAAACGGTCGAAAGGGGAGTCGCTTGGACAGGATCATCGCGCCTTCCTCTTTGTCCGAGCCAGACAAGAATACGACCCCAACCTAACAAGGGTGCGCAAGACGGCGGGTGGCACCAACCCATCTTGGAAGCTGCGTGTGGCAGAGGAACACTGTTGAACCGATGTAAACGTGACAAAGCGGTCGGTGCATTGACATCACCTCTCCAATGGTAGGTAACTAGGCAAGAAGATGGAAGAGAGAACAGAGATACCATTAATGTACCTCAGTCCGCAGACATAGTGCTTAAGCGACGTGCGACTGCTTCTCTGTTAAGAAGGTGCATTGCTTTGAGGAGTTGCAATTAACGAACAGTTGTTTCGCCGAAAGATACATTACGTCAAGGAGACGGCAGCGCATTGCGGCCGATTCTTTGGCGCTTTTCAATTTGTCCATTTCGGAATCCGTAAAGGAATGACGAAAACAGGTCAAACAAGGTGCAAAGAAATAACGCAGGGACGAGACGAAGACGCAGCGGTGAGCACAGGACTCGACGCGAGCCGAAAGAGAGCAGACGTAGGCTCAAACACCCGTAAACAGAACACGGAACCTGTTTGCCGTGGAACAGAGCACACCCATGGCCGAGAGATTTCGAGTACCAGACGCACAAAGACACTCTTGGTGACCGTGCTCCATAATCTTCCCGTCGTCCACGCCAATCCACCCTGACGGCCGAGAGCACAATGTGATCTGGCGATATTTTACGGTTCCTTCGTGGTGTTCTTGTCGTCTTTCCAAGTTTCACGAGTTGTTGCGACGTAACACCGCATCTTGCCGCAGACGCACCGCCAGCCGGTCGTCGTGCATTGTGAACGGTGTGACACCGGATCTGTGGTTTTTCATCGTCGGTTCACCGAGTACTTTAGGAAGGTACGTTGACAATTATTGTCTGGAAAGCATTTTCCTTGTCCAGGATGCTTTGAAAACCTGTGGAGATGGATGCGGTTTTGTCTATCCTGTCGTATTCTGTAGTCCAATATGCTGTTCCTTTTGTCCAAGTAAATTCAATAGACCCGACATGCTTTTTAATGCCGTTTGTCTGTTCGTTTCGCGCCGGGTCATCGTAAAAGTACAGAGTGCTTTCTTGCGCTGCCGCCATTACTTCTTGCCCTTTGTTTTCTGAGACGTCTCTTTGTCCGCCGCCTGGGCCTCCTCTTCCGCTAGAATGGCCTCAATGTCCCGCTCGCGCTGCCAGACACGAACCGCCTCCAGGACGCGCGTCAATGTTTCGCCGCCGTCCATGACGTCCGGCAGGTTATGCACGTCCAGGCCGCACCGATGGTCCGTCACACGGTCCTGGCTGTAGTTGTAGGTGCGTATTTTGTCGGACCGTGTCACCTGGGACTTGGCCAGGACGGCGTCCCGCATGCGTCGCGCCTCGGCCTCGCGCTCTTCGCGCCGCTTCTCAGCAATGCGCGCTCGCAAGATCTTCCAGGCGGCGTCGCGGTTCGCGTGCTGCGACCGCGAGTCCTGCATCGACACGACAGTCCCCGTGGGCACATGCGTCAGACGAATGGCCGACTCCGTCTTGTTGACGTGCTGCCCGCCAGCGCCGCGCGCGCGCATCGTCTCGGTGCGCACATCGGCCGGTGAAATGTAAAACAGGCTTTCCGGATCGTCGTAGTTGTTTTGGCCATCGGCGTCGGGTGAGTCAGGAAATGACGGGAGGACCCAGACAGCAGCGGCGCTGGTGTGTGTGCGGCCTTTGCTCTCGGTGGCCGGAACCCGCTGCACGCGGTGGATGCCCGCCTCACCGCGGAACATGTCGTAGGCGCCCGTATCCTGGATTTCAAGAATGGCTTCCTGAAGAGCGGCCTCGCCGTCCGTGCCCGTGTCGCCAATCGCGTCCTGCGTCTCGTACTTGACGACGCGCGCCCGGAGGCCGTTGCGCGAGCAGTAGTTTTGGTACATGCGGAACAACGAGTCCGTAAAGAACCGGCCCTCCAGACCGCCCGGTCCCGGCCGCATCTCGAGCAGGCAGGGCATGTCGCCAAAGGGGTGTTTGGGCGTCAGGGAGGCGGACAGAGCCTGGGCCAACTCATCGAGCCGGGCCTCGGTGGCCTCGAGCTCGTCGCGCGCCAGCTGCCGCAGCTCCGCGTCCTCGTCGCGGGCACCCACCATGCCACGCAGCTCGTCCGCCGCACGCTGGGCCTCCTCCCATTCGGCCAAGGCATTGGCAACGCTTTGGGTCTCGCCGACGCGCCTGGCAGTCTTGGTGTCAAACCCCGTCTCGAGGGAGAGCTTTAGTTGGGAGTGTTCGGTGGTGATGCGCTTGGCGCGCTCAAGAAGAACCGGGGGGACCGCGCCGGCGGTGGCTGCAAAGGATACATGTCAGTCGAGCCATAAGACTAGAGAGCGAAGAGCCAATGGCTTCTGGGAGCTGCAAACGCACCGTTGCTGGCAAAGCGGCGGCCGAATTGATTTACGGTCCGGCGCGTGAGCAATGACCGGGCACAACTCCTGCAGACCCACGGGGAGGCGAACATGGCGGCCGCATGAGAATGAGACGTCGAGCTGGCGCATTCAAATCGAAGTGTGGTGGTGGGAGGGAGTGCTGTCGGCTGTCAGCCTCGTCTGTCGTCTGTTGTGGAGGTGGTCGAAGCTGACTCTTGCTTGGAGCTTTTTTTTTTTTTTAATTGTTTTTACTCTTTGGCTGGGTTCGGATTTTGGCTTGGCAGTGCTTTCCCAAAATGGCAATCCTTCCCCATGGGTTGGGATCGCCGTTTTACAGTTGTTAGTACCCGCAGTTCGTTCCATGTGCCACACGTGACGACCCGTGCATCCTGCCGCACTCCATCGCCTTTCGCAAGACCCAAGGTCGCGCGTAAGCTTCTGAATTTATTAAATAAACAGAGGTCGGGCTGTATGAATCAAATTTTAGGATTACATTAGTTTGTCACATTGTTTGGCGATTGCGCTGTCAAAGGGTGCGTGCCTGTATTGGGATCTTGGCATTAATCACACGAATGGCCGCCAGTTCGCGCTTTCCTCCACTTCGCTACAAACCTGTTAGCGAGGGGCAACCGCGACCCATTCGTGCCTTCCTAACGTAGCTCTTGCACCACTTTGGCGCCTCCGCTCTCGGGAGGAAGGCACAATGGAACGGTAGATGGGACGAACAAAACGTGCGTGGGGCAATAACAAGGTAATAGGAGAGATAACAGCGCCTTGACGTCTGGACGACCAAATGATAAAAATGTGAATATCTCGCTGTTCGGAGGTCGCCGCGGAGAGATTGTCGAGTTCCAAGTGAATCACGTTTCTCTATCGAACGAGCTCGCCATCGCACTACCAGCATCTTCTCACGCTCTACCTGCCCGATCGTCAACTTGACGTCTCCTTTTGTTTTGGTTTCCAATCACCACATCCGCAACCACTCCCCAAAATCCCCACAATCACCAACTCATCATCATCATGCCGCGCGAGACCGCGTCCGTCTTCCCGCCTCCGTCGGATGTCTTCCAGCGGTTCTCCAGCCGCCGCAGCGTTGTGCACAGCACCAAGGGCATGGTCGCTTGCACGCAACCGTTGGCCGCCAAGTGCGGCATTAATGTCCTGGAAGCTGGCGGCAATGCAGCTGACGCGGCCGTCGCCGTGGCCGCGGGCCTCAATCTGACGGAGCCGTGCTCGACGGGCATCGGCGGCGACATGTTTTGTCTGTACTACGACGCCAAGACGGGCAAAGTGTCGGCTCTGAACGGATCCGGGCGGGCAGGCAACCAGTTTACGCTCGAGCGCATCCGGTCAAGTCTGGGCCTGCCGGCCGAGGCGGCCATGGGCGACAAAATTCCGCTGACGAGCGTGCACGCCGTGACGGTGCCCGGTGCGGCGGCCGGCTGGGTCGACACGGTCAAGCTGTTTGGCAGTGGAAAGCTGAGCATGGAGCAGGTGTTGGCACCGGCTATCAAGCTCGGCGATGAGGGCTACCCCGTCTCCGAACTGACGGCGACGTTTTGGCAAAAGTCCGAGGCCGGCCTGCGCGAAGCATCGCCCAACTTTGCCGAGTGGCTGAAGAAGGACCCGGCGGCCAAGCCCGACGGCTACCGCGCACCGCGCGCTGGCGAGATCATGCGCAACCCGACGCTCGCCCAAACGTTCCGTACGCTCGCGACCGAGGGAAAGGAAGGATTCTACACGGGACGCATCGCCGAGGCCATTGTCGAAGTCGTGCAAGCACGCGGCGGCCACCTGGACGTGTCCGATCTGAAGCACCATCTGGAGACCGGATCGGAGCGCGTCGAGCCTATTTCGCTCAAGTATGGCGACAAGGAGACGGGTGTTGAGGTCTGGGAGCACCCGCCCAACGGCCAGGGTATCATTGCGCTGATGGCACTCGGCATCCTCCAGGAGCTGCAGTCGACAGGTGTCGTTCCCAAGTTCGGCCCTGCAGATTACAATACAGCGCCGTACCTGCACGCAATTATTGAGTCGCTGCGCATCGCATTCGCCGACGCCAACTGGTTCGTCACGGACCCTAATGAGGTGGACGTGCCTGTGTCTGGCCTGCTGGCGCCCGAGTATCTGGCCGAGCGCGCCAAGCTCTTCCTGCCGACAGAGGCGGCCCCATCGCACAAGCTGGAGCACGGCACGCCCGGTGGTGCCCCGTTCCGCTCGCCGGCCTGGACGAGCAGTGACACGGTGTACTTTGCGGTGGCCGACGCCGAGGGCAACGCCATCTCCTTTATTAACTCCAACTTTGGTGGCTTCGGCACGAGCATCGTACCCAAGGGCTGCGGCTTCTCGCTGCAGAACCGCGGCGCCAACTTCAGTCTGGATCCACGCCACCCCAATGTGATCGCCCCGCGCAAGCGCCCGTACCACACGATCATCCCGGGCCTGGTAACGAACCAGTCCGACAACTCGCTGTTCTCTGTGTTTGGCGTCATGGGCGGCTTCATGCAGCCGCAGGGCCATGTGCAGACGCTGCTCGGCCAGCTGGCGGGCGGCGCGAACCCGCAGCAGGCGCTGGATGCACCGCGCATCTGCATTGGATCAGGCATGCCGGACGAAGGCGACGTGTTCGCGGCCATCGTGTCGGTTGAGGAGACCATGCCGGAGGAGACCATTGCAGGGCTGCGGGCGCTGGGCCACGACGTGCGTGTCGTCAAAGATAAGGCTCGTGCGCTCTTTGGTCGTGGCCAGATCATCCGCTACACCAAGGACCCGGTCGAGGACATTGCCGTCTGGTCGGCTGGTAGTGATCCGCGTGGCGACGGCGGAGCATATCCGTTGTAGATGAATCCGACCAGATAGGTTCCGTATATCAAACAAAGTTTACATAGAGCATTGTTACACACATACACATATATATACATATATCTAAGAGATGGGTATTTGTATATTTTACTTTGTTTCTCGAAGAATGCTCCGTAGTTACAGGTGGTCTGTCTTCGCAGTGCACAGTTCCTAACACTGCCCCGCTTGTGTAACCATTTCCTACTCCTTGGGAGCCGCAGCGTCACCCTCGCTCGCCGCCACGAGCACCTTCTTTTCTTCAAATATCTTGGCCAGCTCGCCGCTCTGGTGCATCGACACCAGAATGTCGCATCCACCCACAAACTCCTTGTCCACGTACAGCTGCGGGATCGTCGGCCAGTCCGAGTACTCCTTGATGCCTGCCCGCAGCTCTGCGTCCTCCAGCACGTTGAATGCCGCAAACTTGTCCGGGTCGACGCCCTGCAAGCCCAGAATCTGGATCGCCGCGCGCGAGAACCCGCACTGTGGCAGCTCAGGCGTGCCCTTCATGAAGAGGACGACAGGCGCCGATGTGACGGCATGGTCAATGGCCTCGCGGGTGGTGTCCGACAGGAACCGGCGCTGGAACGCGGCACGGAGGGGGGCTGACGTAGAGGGAGCAACTGTGGGAGTCTGTGGTCTCCGGACTGCCGTCGAGAATTTGGAGGCGAACGATGTCGCAGACACGGAAGGCGCAGCGAAGTAGCCGGAAGCGGCCGGGCCAAGGGCCGCGGGCCGAGCAGCCCGGTGTGCGAGTTGCTGCAACATGTTAGACTTGGGCGGCGGAGTATTGAATCACGCAGAGACAGGATGGGCTTACCCGCGTTACAGAGCGTGAGAGCATTGTGTATCGTGTGGGTGTACTCGAAAAGCGAAGTTGCAAAGCTGGAAGCGTAAACATGATAAGATCGATTTGTAACAGGACATTTGGTTGATTTTTTTCGTTGCTCGCGACGCTGATGGCTGATTGCTAAACAAAAGCCAGCAGACGATTGGCCGACGGGAGTTGAGTTGAAGGCACTAGATGATGTAATAGGGCGAAAACGCGATTTCCGGGTGGCGCCACGTTTTGCCTTGGAGCGCCGCTTGCCCCTGGAACCATTGCCCAACAGCGCGCAGGTCGTTAACTTTCAGCGTTTCAAAAGGCGAGGCGGCGCAAAAGGCACAATGACACATCCAACATGTTCAAAACAGATACTTTTTTATTCCAACAGTTCCTCGCTTTGTACTTTTGTCTTTGTACGTTTTAAAGGCAGATGCTATACTATCACACTCCCTCACACACGTCTTTCCTATTCCTTGCCAAAGACGTCCGCTCCAACGTCCACTTTGCCAACGCTCCAGATCTCGCGCTCGTCCTCGACCTCGTCGTCAAACAGGCCCAGACCGCCAGCGCCCCCCTCAGCTTCACGACGCTCACGGGCCTGGGCTGCCAGACGCATCGTCACGCGCTTGAAGTAGTCGCCCATCACACGCCTCGTCTGGGCGGGCATGTCGGCCGCCGCAGGGCTGGCAAGATACTTGTCAAACACCTTGCTCTCCTCGTCGATCACGTCAAAGAGCGCCATAAATGCTGCCTCGGCCGATAGCTTGACGGGGATCACGAGATCGCGCACCGACGCAAACACGGGCGGTGCGAGCAGCGGCAAGTGCGGGCGCACCATATCCGGGTGCACGCGGGCCAGTGTCCGCACAAGCACCAGCGTCAGACGACGAGTGTCCGCCGGGCCGCCGGGCGGGATGTTCTTGGCCAGCGTCTCAAAGATCTCCTTGGTGTCCTCGAACGACTTGGCCTGCGGGCTAAGCAGGTACTTGCCCGTCGCGAGGATAAAGTTGTCGGCAATGAAGAGCTGTAGTCAAGTTAGCATGTGATCATTTTGTAAGTGATTTGTGAAGAAAGGGGAGTAAGGGGGAAGCGTACATCTTTGTTGGTCATGTCCTGAGCAAGCTGGGCCGGGAGATCCTCTGCCAGGGGGCTCTCAAGCAGCACAGCTGGTGACTCGAGCAGGACCGCGTTGAGCGCAAGTGCCGAAGCGTGCGTGGCGTGGGTTGGCACCACACGGTTCTTGAGGAGGCCGATGGCCACCTCTTGAGGCACGTTCTTGACCAGTGCGCCCAGAAGCTTTGCGTTCGTAATAATCATTGTGTCGTCGTGCACGTCCGCGTCCATATCGATCAGACCCAGCACGGCTGCCCGCGACGGCTCGCCCATGTTGCCGCCCGCCTTGCTGATCACCTCAAACAGCGCCTTGAGCATCGCGTTCTTGACGCCAAGGTCTGTCGTCTTGGAGCCTGTCACCAGCTCCGCAATCAGCGGGTCGACGCGCGGCGTATACTTTATCAGCGTGCCCAGAGCCTTGGCCGCCCGCGACCGCAGCAGCTCGCTCGAAGGATCCGCCAGCGCCTTGGTGAACGTGCGCTGCAGCTGCGGCAGGAACGGCTTGAGTGCTGTCGGCATCTTCTCCAACAGGTTGTTGAGTGTCAGCAAAATCGCGCACTTGACGTCCGTCGAGCGCTCCGTAACGACGCGAATTAAAGGACCCGTGATTTGCGTCACAAACGGCTTCAGCGACGCCTCGCTCGTCCGGTCCACAATGTCCGAGATGGCCAGCGCCGCCGTCGTCCGCTGTTCCGCCGTGCCGTTCATCAGGCCCTGCAGGAAGATGGGCAGAATTGCGTTGATACCCTTGGGCAGCTCAAAGCCCGGCAGGTTGGAGCCGGCCACACCCACTTGCAGCAGCGTCTGGCGGGTCGAGGCCACCAGCCCCTCCATGTCCTCCTTGCGCAGCTTCTTGGTGAACTCGGACAGCGCGCTCCACGCCGACTTGACAACGTCCTTGTCCCGGTCGTCAAACGAGATGAGCAGTGCGCGCAACAGGTCGGCGTTGTAGCGAGAGTAGTCGACATCGGCCTGTGCGAAGAACACGGCCATGTGGCGCGCCGTTGCTGCCCGCTTGCGATGGTCTTCGTGGCGCAGCAGTTGCAGCAGCACGTTCATCACCGTGTTGAGACCGTCGTGCTCGTCGATCGACAAGATGACCGTGTCGAAAGACGTGTCCAGGTCCTCGCGCAGTTCCTCCTCATCGCAGTTGATAATGTTGTCCATCAGCGAGTTGATAATGTGCGGCATGCGGCGGTTCATCGCGCCGCTCGCTACCCGCGACAGCGACGCGAGCGCCTTGGCGTTGAACGCAGAGATGGGCGGCGCAATCAGCGTCGGGATCAGGCTCGGCAGGATAATGTTGGACCGCGTCGTCTCCGTCAGCAGCGTCAGGAGCGCGGCCAGCGCATTGTCGGCCTCCTCATCGTTCTGGAGCAGATGTAGCAGACTGGGCAGCACCTGGTCCACAGCGCGCTTCCCGATGACCTGTTGCAGCGAGTCAAACGCCTCGGCAGCGGCCTCGCGTACCTCTTCATCTGAGTCAGAAAGCGCAGACTGCACGATGGAGATGAGTGCTGCCTCGTGGTCCTCGAGCGAGTCGGGCGATGCCGACGTAATGAGCTCCTTCAGGGCCAGGCAGATACCCTGCTTGGCGTCCGAGTCGGTCGAGGTCTTGAGGCCCTCGCCCAGCGTTGGCAGCAGCGTCTGGAGAATGTTGTCGCCGGCCTTGCGGATCAGCTCGCCCAGAGCATTGCTGGCAATGACCTTGTGCTCCATGTTGGCGCTGCCCAGACGGCGGATAATAAGCTGCGTAAGCGTCGGAACCAGCTCCTTGAGTGTTCTCGGGCTGGACACGAGTGCTTTCCAGACACTGATCGCCGCCGAGCGCACCGCACCCGAGGTATCGCAGCGGCAGATGTACAGCGACGACAAGATCTTGTCGCGCTTCTCTTCACCGAGTACCTCGCGCAACGTTGCGCCCGCCTCACGGACGGCGTCCTCCTCCATCTCCTCCTCTTCCACCTCTTGCTTAGAGCTGATGCCAGAAAGGTTGAAGAGAAGATCGCCAACAAGCTCCACGGAGCTGAGACGAATGCGCCAGCTGTTGTCCGCCAGGCCCCGCTCGAGCTCGGGCAGCAGAAGGTCGACAGCGCGTGTGGCAAAGTTCTTGACGAGCAGGCGACCGGCGCGTAGGGCCGTCTCGCGAATCGAGTCAACATCGTCGGCCAGACCCGCCAGGATCGGCGGAATGATTTTGCCCAGATAGGCCGAGAAGCTGTTGCCGAAGCAGACGGGCAAGAAGATGAAGAGCGACATAAAGCCCTCGCGGACGGACGCCTTGGACGACTCGACGTTCTGGAGAATGGTGGGGAGCGTCTCCTCCAGACGAGTTGTGCCGAGGCCCGCAAGAACCTCGGAGAGAGCCTGGGCAGAGCCGAGACGGTCGCCGGCACCCGTATCGGACTTGAGGGTCTGCATAAGACCAGGTATCAGCTCGGGCAGTGCATCCTCGCCGAGCTTCTCTACCAACGAACCAAGAGCGCGAGAGGCCGTGGCACGCGTGGTCGGCACAGGGTCGACCACGGCCACCTTCAGGCCAGCGACGAGCACGGGCAGATGGGCAACCAGATCCTTCTTGTCCGTAAGGTGGGCCAAACTGCCAATGACCTGCGAGGCCTTCCGCTTCGTGTTGGACCGGTCGCCGAGACCGCGCTGCAGGATGCGGCTGATGAGCGCCAGGGACGGCGCGTCCAGGTAATGCACGAACTTGATCTTGATGAGCGCGTCAAGGGCGTCATCGGTGTACTTGGTCGGGTCACTGAGGGCCTTAAGGAGGACATCCACTAGGCTGCGCACCTCAGGGTTGTTTATTACCTCGCCGAAGCGCTTCAAACTCTTGTTAGCGGCGGCGCGCACCTCTTTATGGCTGTCGTTGAGCACAGCCGTCAGAGGCGGGATGATGTCAGGCAGGCTCTGGGCGAGCTGCTGCGGGTCCAGGTAAGCCATGGCACCGAGCAGGTCGCAAGCGCCCTTCTTACTTCGCCATTGCGAGTCGTCGAGACCGTCGAGCAGTGTTGGCAGGATCTTCTTGACACCAAAGGAACTGAGTTTGGCGAAGCACGCCTTAGCGGCAGACAGAGACGCATCACGGACATTGACGTTGCTGTCACCGAAACCGGCAAGCAGCTGGGGCACGATCTGGATGACGTAGGGCTCAAAGAGCCGGCCGAGGATGGTTGACAGAAGCTCGTAAGCGAGTAGGGCCGATTCTCTCTGGTTCGCCTCCTTCTTGTTCTCACTGGCACCCTTCAGCGTGATCAGAATGCGGTAGTCTTTCAGGGATCCGATACCACGGCCGAGGACCAAACCGGCGAGACCGTAGGCAGCACCACGCTGAGAAGCATAGCTCTTGGAGGACATCAACGTGTCCATCACGTCGTTAAAGTACTTGGACGACTTGTCTCCGCTAGTCTGGACCAGTGGTGGTAAGCACTCTGCAATGGCATACTGGACAGTCTCGGATGGTGTGCTAAGCGTCGCCAACAGGCGTTCGATAACGACGGGGATTTTGGCGTCGCCGGGCTTGAGATGGCGAGCGAGGGCGCCGTACATGATGATGACGGCCTCGTTGACGCGGTCGGCGGCGTCCGAGTTCTTGTCAGGAGCGGCCAGAGTCTTCTCAAATGTCTGCATAAGCTTGGCGACAATGGGCTTGCCGTGAACCTCAATGGCGCGGATGGCTGCATCCAGCATCTCTTGCCGGACGGTGCCGTTCTGGTCACCAAGTGGACCCTGTTCAATCAAGAAGTGCAGGAACGGCTCAACCTCACCTTTGTCCAGGTTCGGTGACAGCTCCTTAAACGCAGCTGCAATGCCGTGCCGTGCCTCCCAGGGATCAGACAGGTCCATTTTCCTCGGCATGCCAAACTCATCCAGCTGGGCCACTCGAGGCTTGGCCAACTCGGTGTACGACGACCGCAGCTGCGATGTGATGTTGTCGAAGATCGTGGGCGACTTGAGAATGACAATGGATTCGGCAAGCGCGCGGGCAGCGGCGCGGCGAAGCTGTGCATCCTTGCTCTGCAAGTAAGGCAGCGTTCTCTCTGGCAGGTCTTCCGACACCTTGAACTCGCTCTCCTCCCAGATCTCGCGGCCAAGGTCGACGTTCTCCTCAACATCGTCGTGGCACACTAACCAAATCTCTTCAGACGTCGAGAGCTCGCTCATGTCAACCTCAGCACTAATGGACTGCAGGACCGTCGACCGAACACTTGCTTGCGTGACAATGACACCCTGGGATAAGATGTTGATCTCCTCCTTAGAGATATTCGGAGCCACGCAACGGACCATGTCGGCAAAGCAGTCCTTGATAATCTTGTGGTTTTGGCTGTAGTTTTGCATCGAGAAGATGAGAACAGAGAGCAGGTCAGAGCGCGGGATTGCCTCGTCAGCGCACACATCGGTGTGGAAAGAGAGCACCTCAATAGCCAGAACCAGTTGAGCATCACGGTCCTCAGCCTCGGGGGCAAAGCCGCCCTTGTTGAGGATCAGCAGAATGAGAGGCAGGAAGTAGATGAGAGACACGGTATCGAACGGACGCTGCTCGCCAGTGGAGCGCAGGCGGTACAGGATGCGGGTAATCAGGTCGGACAGCGGCTCCTCAAGGAGGTTTTCCGGGAGCGACGACACGTCGTGTGCCCGAAGTGTAGCAACACCGATGAATGGACGCATGGCACCGAGACGGTTGGAAACACGCTCAGACAGGGTAATGAAGGCCATGGGTGCCACGTCCCCAGTGATCAAGCAAGCACCAGCCTCGATAGCGTCTAAGAGAGCCTTGACTGCGGGGCCCATCCACTGCGAAGCATTGGTCGGTGGGCCGGTGGCGAGACTGCGAATGACACCAATGCCACGGAGGAGACGCGCCTCGAGCAGGCCAACCTTCTCGCGGATCTCGGCTTCTTTCTTGAGTTGGGCGTTGACCTTGGCCGTCTCTTCGGCAGTGAGCTTCTTTTGCTGACCCTTCTTGGAGGCCAGCTGTGCACGAAGCTCCTCTTCCCACTTGAGCACATCATAGTCCTTGCTGTTCTTGCTGGGCAAGTTGCTCGTCGTCTTGGCCAGGACATCAACAAAGGTGGTGCCCGGTGGAGTCCGGAAAATAGCTGCGTCAACAGGACCAATGGCCCGCAGCTCGTCAACAGCCAGGTCGTGCTGGATCAGCTCGACAATGCGAGGCGCCATCTGCTCGGGGGCCACAAAGACGAGCTCGGCTGCAGCTTCGTATGCAGCGGTCTTGATCCCGTCCGACGTCTGTGTCAGCTGTGTGCGCTCGGCAATCTCTTCTAGGAGTAGCTTCTCATGGTGTTGAGCAAGACTACCAGGGTCCACCTCAGCGCGCAGGCAAAGCTCGATCCAGCTGCTCCCAGGGATAAGCACGGGGCGGGCTAGAACAGCCAGGCCGCACATCTGTTGCTCGATTGTGTCTTTCTCTGGCCCGGCTCCGGTCGCTCTGACAAAATCAGAGGCTCTGCGGCAAATAGCGGTGAGGATAGAAAGAAGTAGCGCATTTTGCGACTTGGAGAGTATTGAAGCACTCTCCTTGTCGCCGTTGGCGAGAGTCTCCAGCCAGTGCCACAGGCCTGCAATCACGGACTTCGAGACCCGGCTGGGATCATGCAAGTACAGGTAAGAGAGGGCGCTGTTAGCTTCTTTGCGCAGGAACGGACCACCATTAGTAGATGTTGCCGCATAAATATAGGCCTCCGCCCATGCGATGCTGATGTCGGACTCTTCATCGCCGTCTAGCGCCGGGAAAGAAGCTACAAGAGCACGGTACAGCCATCGGATGTCGTCGTCGGTCGCGAGTTTCGTGTATATTCTGGGGCTAAGGAGGAAAGATGGCTTCGGCTGGAGCACGAGGCACTGCTTGTCAAGTGAGAACTTCTTGGATAAGGTGGAGAGAGGTGTCGACGAGGTGTCTTTGAATAAGAAGGGCGCAATGGCACAAACCACAAGGCCGCCTGCAACAAGGCCATTTTGCGAAGCGGCAGAAGGGTTCGCCACGACTTCCGAGTACGCATCAAGCAGTGGAGGGAATATAAACTCTGCAAACCTCACAACATGGGCGGGCAGCCCCTCGGACGCCTTGTGGAAGCCATATAGAGTCTCACCCGCGGCAATGATCCAAAGGCGGCGCGCAGGCGCCTTCTTGTCAGCGAGACCCTTGACGTAAGCATCCACAACCAGTTTAGGCACACCGGTCGAGCCTTCCAGGAGGATCTTTGTGTTCTGTGTGAGAGAAGTCGTCTCGGCCGTCAGAGCAGTCTCATTGCCCTCTTTTGATGCCGCGGCGGCAATGCCCGTGGCGACCTTGCCAGCCGTGGCCTCAGATTTCGGGAGCGCTTCCAGGATTTGCGAGTGGATGGTGCGGTGCTCGGGAGAAGTGAGCTTGCCGGATTGCAGCGGCGTGAGGGTCTCATCCACCACGCGGGCGACAACATCAAGATCTGTGCATCGGGTGGCAAGAGCGCGGAAAGCTGTCAGGGTGCCATTGCGCACCGCCTCCTTGCTCGACTTGACATTAGACAGCAGTGGCTTCGCCAAGTGCTCCTCCAATATATTCGACAGGTCGTAGGTCTTGGGTAAAGAATCCACAAGAGGCGTGACGAGGTCGTCAAGGACAATTTCTGGCGCACGCAGCAGGCCCTTCTTGATCGCAGGCACAATTTGGGTCTCCAGATCCTGTACAGTCACGAAGCTCTGGAAAAAGTCTTGCAGGCCAGCAGCCACGTTGCTCGATAGCTGTGTCTTGGAGCTCGTAATCTCACGTGTGAAAAATTCAAAGTACTGTGGCTTTGTCGTCTCAAAGATGGCCTTGGCTTTGGCGTTCCGGGCCGACACGCCAGCGATAACGCCAAGGAATACTGAGTTGCGCGCAGTCGGCTGGGTTCCCTTGGCAGCCAGAACCTTGACGGACTCGAGAATGGCTTTCTCACGTGTGCTGTCGAGAGACACAAGCTTACGGAAGCCTCGCCGGGCCACCACGAGGGCGGAATGCGCGACGCTTTGCCGCGTGGGTGGTCGCGTGCACTTTTCAACGGCACTCGCCTGAGCAACAAGGATGTCGTTTCCGACCTTGTCCCAAAGCTCCGTTCCGGCCAGCTGCTGCATAATAATGCTGCACCATTCTATGAGCGTGAAGGTGCTTCCTGTGGACGTGTTCAGCTTCGATGCCTCCGCACGAATGGCGGCCACTAGGGGCGCTAGAAGCTGGCCGTTTTTCTTGTCGCAGATCGAGATCAGGCATTTTTGCACGGCACGTCTCGACGGCCGGTCTTCGTACGAGGCATGGGTCCAGAAGAGAACGGGAAGGAACTTGGCAATGGCTGCTGGCTCGAGATCTGAATATGGGAAATGGTCCTGGTCAGCATACTCGCTATACTCGTACAGGTCACGCACCAGCATCTCAACAACAGCACCCCAGACAACACTCACCGCCATTGGTGATCTTGTCGTCAATGGTCCGCAACTGCGCAATACGGATCGATGTGGACGAGGTTGCCAAAGCCACTCTCGTCGAGACTGGGTCGAGGGCCGCGGTGCTGGACCCATTGGTCAAGGTCGGTTCAGTCATGTTGCGGTGTGTGCCAGAGACGCTGCTGGCATTGTTCCGAGGCAGCGTTAGGTGTAGCAGAAGCAGGAGAAACGGATTTGGCTTGGTTTGCCCCTGTTCGTGGCGGCAGACCCTCGTTTCTCGCGATTGTGCAGAGTGGTCGACTTTGTGTGTCGTTTGAGGAGAGCATCTGTTTGGCTTTTTAGCTCGTCGTGAAGCTCACCCGAGGAAAGACCACTGGCGCAGTTTCCATTTTGCTCTACTGCACTTGGCTAATTACATAAATTATCCTACAATGGCAGGTGCTATGGCAAGGCCCTGGATTTTTTGCTGTTGTCCATGGCGGGGCACGCAAGCACTAAAAAGCGGCAGGCACGACCGGCGAAGGTGAGTCAACAGGGGAATCTTTTTTCACTGACGGCAGGCAACACACATGGAAGTCGCGAGGTGGGGTGTGCGCTGAACATGGAAGGCGGTCAGCATGTTCTGCCGATTTTGCACCGCAAAGAAGCGCGGGGCGATGCCAATTGCAGGTTGTGTTCGGCCAGAAATGGTGGGTAACAAACAATATGTCAGTAGCACTTGCCAATTCTCTTTTTAGGGACGTTTGCACTTGCCTTTCAAACAAACACAACGTTTGGCCTCGTTTTCATCCTGCACTAGAACTTCTCTTCATAGAATCTTGCTTCGACTTCGGTCCCATCAGTCTTCGTGGCCGTTGTCGTTTTAGGCCACCACAGCGTCTTTCTTTGATTTCTGACCCCGGTCGATCCCATTACACCTCTGTACCCTCACTGTTTCCGCCGTCGCTCGTTTTCCACAGTCCCCTCCCGCCGCGTCCCATTTTGAGAGCTCGCTGAGAGCTACAAAATGGCCGGCAACAAAAAGAAAAGGAAGCCAGCGGCCAGCGCTGCTAGAGGCTTTGCTACAACTTCGATTGCCTCAAAACCGAGAGCAGATCCGGTCGAGGGCGCTGATGCTACGTCCACTCCGCAAAATGCTGCGAAAGGCAAAGTCGGCGCACAGGCACCCGCAACATCTCAGAACTCAAAATTGACGACTGCGGATAGTGCATCATCTGGGCACAGCAAGGCTACGGCGGCACACACTTTGAGCCCCGAGGAGTTTGAGAAGCAGTTAGAAGAGTCGGAGCTCCAACTCCTTGTCGAAAAATATGCGCAAAAGGTTCGCCGTGATGCTGCACGCCAGTTTGCACGATTAGAGACCGACCGCCGAATACTACGAGGCCAGGCTGAATCTGTCAACTCCAAAAAATGGATTCCTCAGGAGCTGATGGACCAAATTCTTGATTTGATTCAGTCGGAAAGTCGATTTGCAGCTTCGAATGTCGGCTCAGAAACCTTGCCGAGCGGAAAGCTGCTTTCTGAGGAGGATCTGACGATCAAGTTGTGGACGCTCGAACAAGCCCTTGAGCTAGCTGGCTTTCCGGATGACAAAGTGCAGGCAGTCCTCAAATACGTCCTGGACATCTCCACACAAGTTGGACCTGGCCCCAAAGATTCAATTTGGGGTCTGGAAGAGGCCTTAGAGTGGCTGGCCCGGGAAAGCTCTGCAGACGAGCTTCCTGACTATTCTAAGCAGGGAGCATTGAGCAAGAAGGGACAAACTGGAGGTAAGTTTTTTTTTTTTTTTGGAAGGTATTCTTGCTTCCCTTTTAGTATATGTTTTGACGATGTTTTTAAGATACGTCAGACACCCCTCTTGCCTCAGGAGCAACAACGCCAAGTCTTCTAGAAGCCGATATTGGTCAAAATAAGAAAGGTAAACCCAGTTCTGCCAGTCGGTCGCCAAAAGGAAGTTCTTCAAAACAGTCTGTAATCACCTTCGATGGCGACATTGAACCTGAAGAGCTTGGCCCGGTGTATCTCGACACCAAGGCACGGCTCTTTACCCTGCAACGACCATTGCAGGTAACCACGCAAAAGGGCCGGCTCAACAACCAACCGGCGCCCGTAGTGGTTCTATCCGAAGCAGACAAGCTGGAAACTGCGAAGCTGCTCGGAAAGCTCGAACGGATCGAGAACGACATTCTCTTTGACAGGAAACTCGCAGAAATGCAGTGGCGGTCCAAGAAGATTATTCTCGAACGCGAGTTCTCAGAAGCCACAAAGAAGGCAGCGGAGGAGAAGCGTGCCAAAGCCAAGGCTAAGGAGGAGGCGGCGGCGGCCCTTCAGGACGATTTGTCAGATACTTCAGATTCATCTGATGATGAATCTGAAGACGAAGTTAGCAAGGAGGCAAAGCGAGTCGCAGCCGAGATTCTTGCGGAGGACGACAGTGACGACGATGCAATCGCAGATCTATTCGCAAGCTTGCCAGTGAGCGAGGTCGACCCCAATACGGGCAAGACTAACACCGTGGTGAACAGTTCCGACGGTTCAAAGGTCATCATCCGCGACTTCGGAACGTGGATAGGCGTGAGCCCGGTGCGTGCCTTAGAAGAGGCCTGCCGTGCGAGAGACTCGTCCGTTCGTATTTCTTATCAACTTGTTTCTGATATTTCATTTGCCAACCGGCACATGGTGTCGATCGCCTGGACGAAGCCGCAAGAAATTCCACAGCTTGCTCCGTTGTCAGACCTCGAAGTCGCCATGGTGAATACACGATTCGTATTCAAAATGGTCAAGGTGGCCACTCCTGACGCCAAGCAGTCCGAAGCTTTCATTGCGACTGCAGCCTTGTTCTTCGTTTTCGGAGCGTCGGCGAAGGAGGAAAAGGTGGCTATGCGACTGCCTCCTGCATGGCGAGATCTTTGGTCCGAGTTCGCTAAGGTCAAGAAAAGCCAGGCTGACTCACTTGACCGCGAAGCCATAAAGAAGCTCCGTGACCTAGTAAGTCTGAGGCGAGACCAGGAACTAGAGGACGGAGTTGTCCTGCAAGGTGCCTTCCGTGGTCGTGCTGCAGGTCGAAGTGCGGCAGATTCTGGAGAGGACTCAGGCATTGAACGGGGCGGCCAGAGTGTGTATGGCCCAGAGTATTATCAGCGGATCTGGCAGGAGAAATCCAGTACACCAAAGTACCAGGCCATGCTACAGTCTCGGATGCAGTTACCCATGTGGGCGTTCCGCGATCGTGTGCTTGAGGCTGTTGAAAGGGAGCAGGTGGTGATTGTTTGCGGTGAAACGGGTTGTGGCAAAAGTACACAGGTCCCGTCGTTTCTCCTTGAGCACCAGCTGGCGCAGGGGAAGCAATGCAAAATCTACTGCACCGAGCCTCGTCGCATATCTGCCATCTCATTAGCACGGCGTGTGAGTGAGGAACTGGGCGAAGGTCGAAACGACTTGGGCACACCGCGGTCTCTGGTTGGCTTCTCAATCAGACTTGAGGCAAACACGTCGAAAGAGACGCGACTAGTCTTTGCCACGACTGGTATTGTCATGCGAATGCTGGAGGGCTCAAACGACTTGCGCGAGATCACGCATCTGGTCCTGGATGAGGTACACGAGCGGTCCATTGACAGCGACTTCCTGCTGATTGTGCTGAAGAAGCTCCTGACGCGGCGGAAAGATCTCAAGGTGGTACTCATGTCGGCCACTGTGGATGCTGAGCGCTTCTCCAAATACCTCGGCGGAGCGCCGGTCCTGAACGTCCCCGGACGCACGTTCCCTGTACAGGTCCAATACCTGGAAGACGCCGTCGAAGCCACTGGGTACTCGCATGACCAACGCGTACAGGAGAAAAACATAGATCTCGATGACGATCTCGTCGACGAAATCGTCGAGACGTCCTCCAAGCCAGAACTTCTCAAGTCGCTCAAGGATTACTCGAACCGCACTCGCAACACGCTTGCTCAGATGGACGAGTACCAGATTCAATTCGATCTCATCGTACAGCTCATTTCCCAAATCGCAACCAGTCAGCAATACATCAAATATAGCCAAGCGATTCTTGTCTTCTTACCCGGTATAGCTGAAATTAGAACACTGAATGACCTGCTTCTGGGTGACAAGACATTTGCGGAAAACTGGCTCATATACCCGCTCCACTCGACAATTGCAACCGAAGAGCAAGAAGCTGCATTCCTGGTGCCCCCTCCTGGGTATCGGAAGATTGTCCTGGCTACTAACATTGCCGAGACGGGCATCACAATTCCTGATGTGACTTGTGTGATCGATACAGGAAAGCACCGCGAGATGCGTTTTGACGAACGGCGGCAGCTGTCGCGGCTAATCGACACCTTCATCTCGCGAGCCAACGCAAAACAGCGTCGTGGTCGAGCTGGTCGTGTGCAAGAAGGTCTTTGCTTCCACCTCTTCACCAAATATCGACATGACCAGATTCTCAGCGACCAACAGACACCTGAGATGCTGCGCCTTTCCTTACAGGATCTTGCAATCCGTGTCAAGATGTGTAAGATCGGTGCCATCCAGGAAACTCTCGGACAGGCACTCGATCCGCCCTCGGAAAAGAACATCCGCCGCGCCATCGACGCCTTGGTTGATGTGCGTGCCCTGACAGCATCCGAGGAACTTACGCCGCTTGGTATCCAGCTGGCTCGTCTTCCGCTCGATGTGTTCTTGGGCAAGCTGGTCTTGATGGGCACGGTGTTCAAGTGTTTGGATATGGCAATTACCGTGGCAGCGATTCTGTCGTCCAAGTCACCCTTCACGGCACCATTTGGCCAGCGCGCACAGGCTGATACCGTCCGTCTGGGCTTCCGCCGTGGCGACTCGGATCTGCTGACTGTCTACAATGCATACTTGGCGTGGAAGAGAGTGTGTCAGTCGGCCGTCAGCGCTGCAGGCGGCGGCGAGTTCCAGTTCTGCAAGAAGAACTTCCTCAGTATCCAGACGCTCACAAATATCGAGGATCTCAAGGGCCAGCTCCTAGTGTCACTTGTCGACTCCGGGTTCTTGCCCCTCACATACGAAGAGCGGCGCAACCTGAACAAGCTTCGTTACTCATCGAGCGGACGCGGCGGGCGGCGGCGACAGCAAGCTTTCTTTGAGCTCCCGCAGCGCGTCAATATCAACAGCGACGTGGACATTATCTCGCAGTCT